ATAAAAATAAAAAAATATTCATTTTTATTTATTTATTTATAAAAAATAAAATGACAAATATTTTAAAAAATTAAATAAAAATAGGTAAATTATTAAAAATAGAAATTAATAAAAATAAATAAAATGACAAATATTTAAAAAAAAATTAAATAAAATAGATAAATTATTAAAAATAAAAATTAATTAAAATTAAACGAAAATAAATAAATAAATAAAAATAAATAAATAAATAAATAAAAAGAATTAAAAAAAATAAATAAAAAAAAATAAAAAATATTTATTTTTATTTATTTAAATTTTTTGTTTATTTTTTTATTTTAATTTTTTGTTTATTTTTTTATTTTAATTTTTATTTATTTATTTAATTATAATTATTTTTATTTATTTATTTTTATTTATTTATTTTTATTGATTTTTATTTATTTTTATTTATTTTTATTTATTTTTATTTATTTTTTAATTTGCCTATGTTTATTGATTCATTTTTTATTATCTTTATTTTTATTTTTTTAAATATTTATTTCTTTTTTTTTGTTTTTATTTTTATTTATTTAATGGCACTTCAAGTGGGGACCAAACTGTCGGGATGTCGTTGTTATTAGTTCACTCCTCATATTTTTTATGTCAGTCAAGCTAATAAGTTTACTTCAAAATTTATTTTACCATATAAATTCGTATAATATATTGAAAATTTCTAAATTAAATTTGTTATAACTTAAAAAAACAAAATAAATAATTTTTCTTAAAAGAAATTTATAGTTTTCTGAGTATATAATAAAAAGAAACTACAAAATCATTGAATTTTTAGCTCGCTATGATTTTTTCAAGTCTCCTCTTAATTTCTAACCACCCTAACTCTGTCAGTTTTAATAATATCAAATGTCAAATATCATTTTTATGTAGAACTTTATGTTTTACAATTTTTATTAAAAACTTTTTTTTATAGCACCTACCGTTTTTAAATAACCTTAAAAAAACACTAATTTTCTTGTTTTTGACATTTGCCGGTGCCTGAAAATCAAAATTTTTTTACATATCGTTTTCAAATACTCTTAAGTGACTTATATCAAAAATTCCTGTATTTCCTCCAAAATTTTGAATTAAAGGTCTATTTAATTGGACTATAAACATTTAAATGGCCGTGCGAACGAATTAGTGGGGTCTCTAAAAGTTATTCTGAAGAAGAACGAGATAATGGTGGCCCTTTATTACCAATAAATGCTGTCAGGACTCAGAGAGCGTGTAACAACGGCGTTGAATTTGAATATTTCGACGGTAAGCCCAATTTCTCAGGTATTAAAGAATAACCATATCTAAAATTTTTCTCCAAAAAGGCGACTACATCCCAAACCTGTCACCGAAATTTTCAATTATGACTCATAGCTCTCAGAAAGTCTAGATACCGCATTGTAAAAAAATGTTGACCCCCAATATGATGGGGGGCCATGATGCATACATTTGAAGTTGGCATTACTGACAAGACAGAATCGTCGCAAGTTTAGTAATAACAGAGACGTGTAACTTAATAGGAAAATTTGTTCGGTGGTCCATTTAAATTACATATATAACTTTCTTTCTCTTTTACATTGATCTTTACATATATTTATCTCTCTCCAATAAAACTAACCCCAGTCCTAGAGGTCGCTGATGTTGCTGGTTTTTTGACGTCGACGTGTGACGTATTAGGCATTCCAACGACCCGTCAAAATGCTACCAGTGGGAACTGACAGTTTAGATATGGCAACCCTGTGGGCAACTCTAGTGGCTACTAGAAGATTGTAGTCATTTAAACGAAGAAAAAAAATTGAATCACAAAAGGGCAGAATTTTAAAATAGGATGCATTGGAAAATAAATTTGGGGACATCAGGTCGGTTTTGGATTTTAGAGAGAGATCAATCTCATGAAAAGTTAATTTATCCTGCAGAACAACCAGTAGTTTGAGTAGGATCTGCTATAACTTTATTAGAAGATTTCCTTGATAATAAATTGTAATATACCAATTGTTTCAAGAAAAACTGAAAAAGAATTAAATTCGAAATTAGATTTTTCATGGGTAAAATATTATATTCATTCAAACATCGTGAGGTAATCTATAATTAAGGGAGTATGAAAAATGGGTATACCCTGGTAAAAAATTACAAAAATGTATTCATCTTTAAATAGTGTCTATTATTATTATTTGCTATGTTTGAAAAGTACCTCCTGCTGCAGAGCAGATCGAATAGATTAGACGACTAGTTGGAGAAGGTCCACCTAGTCACCAAATTAGGAGACTAGGAAAACTTTTACATGACTAGGGTCAGAACAGGAATGCACACGCACAAGATACACAAACAGACGATATAACAGGGTAAGCCTTCAGCAACGTCCTGTTTAAATGATGATAGTATGTATTCATCCCCTTTTAGAAGGCATGGCACATAAATCTATTGATCTTGATGACCCTAAAAGGAGTTAGCAGGGGGTGTACGGAATGGGCCTAGCAGGTTTCGATCCAGTTTACAGGATGAGTACTTACTCGACTCGGGCCTTATACATTTGTGTGAGTGTATGTGTGTGTCTGTTTCGTTTCCATGGTTTCTATTAAAATAAGTCATAACATACTCTATTCTTTATAAAATATTTGTTACATTATTTTTTAAATATATTATGAATATATAACAACTGTGACTTTCTTTGTAATTTGTAATGATACGAGGTATTTTCTAAACGTAGCAGTTGTAGTTTGGTGTATTATTTTTCCAAGTTTAAATATTTAATAATCAATAGAATGTTCAAGTTTTTTAGCGAAATTTACAAGAGTGATAAAAATTATGTTTACTGCTGATATTAAACTGATTAAAACTTCCTTTATTAAAATGATTATTTAAATGATAAAAAATTTGACGTTATTGGAAGCTTTTACATTTTTTAATATACAGTGAAACAATAGTTTTTGTTTCTCCTGTAAATTTGTATAGAAAAACTATTTATTTCTGAATCCATGTTTGAATTTCCCGCCCTCAAGTATTTTTAATTTTCCCGCTATTTACTAGTGGCGCCATCATAGATTGGTTGTGGTTACAATCGCTCAAACAACTTTTACCAAACAAAAAAAAATACATTGAGTTACACGTCTCGCTGGGTTGTCTCTGGTAATAACATTAGGATCGGCGTTCGACTGCATATAATCTTTTACCTTTATATAAATAAAAATTTCTTATGTTTATTTGGTCATGTTTTTAATTTAGCTCAGCACTACATATGTTTCGGAAACATTTTTTCCATCTTCGGGTGCAGTCAAAATTTAATAAATTTGTTCCTTTAGTCGTTGGGTTTTAGAACACATTAAAAGCGAGTGGCAGTATTAGTAACATAAAAAATTATTTAATTGACAACACAACAAAAAATAAAAACTTACCAAATTCCCTGTATAAATATAAACAACTAGCTTTGTGATTAAACAATTCAATTTATAACTTTTTGCTTTTTTTTTAGATGTGAAAATGTAGTATTTTATTTGTATTTATTGTTAAATCACAGCTCAGGACATCTTTGAAGGCTGGTAACACATGCCATTTGACATACTTTTTTAGATTGATACCATTAAGTACATCATAGATCCTTGATTCCAAAAACTCAGTTATAACAAAATACTTAAATCTAAAATTACTTGGAAATCAATTGATTACTCAAATTTTATCATTAGTATACGAGGTTTGTCAAAAATAAAGGTACTTTATTCAAAATTATTTTTTTTTAGAGAAAGAAAAAAACTACAAGAACTAAAATAAAAAGAATGAGCAAAATTCAAATTCGAGATAACATATAGAGTGTTCCACTAAAAAAAAACTACCTATCTATCTGGATTAGGGTGTGGTTCAAAGCCTACTTGTACTGAAGCTTATTGTACCCCTCACAGTTTCGATCCGATCAGATTGATTTTCTTGATGAATTCAAGAATATGTCTGATGGGCGCTTTCGCGATTTCTTCAGGTTCCGGATATTGTACCTCGAAGTACCATTCGCGTTCCCATTTAAGGTTCCGACAGTGGCATAGTATGTGAATAGGAGTTTTGTCCTCCTCTTCACATATTCTACATAGGTGTCTTCTAAGGCCGCAGTGTCCCGTACGATTTAGCAGTTAATTTTGTCTGCTCGTGGATGGCCCCTCTATGAATCTTTTGGACTGTCTAAGTCCAGGAAGTTCTCTATTTATTTGTAACACCCATTTAACATGTTGGTATAAGATACCACATGTGGGTTCTGGTCCAATAAGAGTTTTTTCTGTTCCCTTCCTTGCTAGAATTCCAGTTTTCTCGTTTTCAAACACTCCCTCATGTCCTGGCACCCATTCAAGGGTGACCTTGTTATGTTCTGCCAGGTCCTGGAGGGACTGTTGGCAATCAAATATTGATTTATATTGTACTTCTATCCTTTTCAGTGCTTTAAGGGCTGCCTGACTGTCATGATAAAGGTCCTCTTATCTCTAAAAGAGTCATTCAGCATGACTTTGGCGTAAGCATTTATTGCTGTTACTTCAGCCTGGAAGACTATCGTCAGTGACCCCAGGTTCAGACTAATTGTCCTCCCTGAGTTCACATGGTAGATCCCAGCTCCTGTGCTGTTTTTCATTTTCGAACCGTCTGAATACCAGATTGATTCGTTTTGTTCTTCCCTATTACATATAGAGTGTTCCACTAAAAAAAACAACTTTGGTATGCTGTGACTTTATGAAACACACTGTATATTACGAAATAATTTTAAAATGTAGAGCTGGACTCTATCTATAATTTGTATTGAAAACTTTTGTTCATATCAAACTCCGGAGTATAAGTTGATCACTCTGTATCTACAAATTTTGTCACGTTAAAAATATGTACCATATTCTTCAATTTATTTATTATTTTTGTATTTCTCTTTTTAATGCGAAATCAAACAAAGTGCCAAATGGAAATTTTTCGGAAATAATTTTGATTTTAGTGGTAAATAAGATTTATGTTTATTTCTTTAAATAATTTCCTACAAACCAATATCAATTTAAAAACGTTTTTATATTATACACTACAGTCTGCTAATATATATTCTACTATTCCAAAGCCATGCAATATTGCTCAGCCACTAGCCAGCCATTTTATAGATGGTCTCTGATAATTATGGAGTAGGTCCTGTAAACACTAAAAAACCAAAATCGATTTTAAAACAAACGTAATAATAAGATGTATTGTGAATTTTCATTTTTGGCCTAACTAGTGAGTGACAACTGATATTTCTTTAAGGGCGGGATGTACAATAGGCAGTTAAAATGTAATCTTAATTTAAAATGTGAAGCTCATTGTATAATCGATTATTGTTAAACATAGTTTTAAAAATGATATGTGTGCTTTAAATATTTATGTGACCAGTTACAAATTAAACTGAGTTTAAGGTGAAGTGGGGGTAAATGTGATAATAGTCTACATATTTAACGCAAATATATTAATACTGCTACCATCAACCTAACAGGTCTTTAAGTTTGTTAGCGCACCACCAACACATTATACTAAACGAAATTACGTAAATCCAACATCAAATGTAGGAAGAGAGACCGGGGTGCCTAAAAGACCCACCCGATACCAACATGGACACAGGTGAAGAAGTTGAAACTTACGTGGCACTTCAAAGTCATAATACAGCACAGAGAAAAAAAAACGTTGGCAATTTACACCCGGTGGAATTAGGCAAAATATTACATCAAAATAAAGTTACATGAATTGTGAGAATATAAACAAAAGGAAGAAACTATACAAAAGTTAACAATATCTGCAACGAAAAATGGCTGACTAAAGACCAGAACTGGTTCAATAAAAATTAAATGGAAATATATCCCGAGAAATATTTCTACATAATGCAGGGTAAAAAACAAAATAGGGAGAATCCCGCAAATTGCTATAGAAAAAAAAGTTGTTAAATATCTGGAGGTCATTCTCGACTCATAAATATAAATTCACAAAATATATAAACAATATAGTAGGTAAAGCAAGAAGAGGCATAGACGTAATGAGGGCGATATCAGGAATAAAATGGGGAGCCGACACAAAACTACTCCTAACAATTTATAAGGGTTTAGTCCTACCACACCTAGACCCAGGAGGCATCCTTTACTAGAAAATGTCAAAACAAAATCTTTACAAACTATACAAAACTCAATATCAGGCTCTTCAGTAGCATCTCTGCTAGCTGAATCAGAAGAAATACCCCTCAAATACCTAGCATCAAAATTCATCTTAAAAAAAACCTTGCAATAGATAATATAATGACAAAATCACTAATTAATACCTATTCACTATTCAATGAACTAAACAATAACACAAACTACTCGGATTTTTCTTTAATTGAAGGCTTAGATAGGATTCTGATTTATTATGATGACATGATTAAGTCTGAACATGCACCTTGCTTCGAATACAATAACCTAAATGTCATATCTCAAATCAAAGACAAATAACCTGATTACAAAATATTATAACACTGATGCATCAGTAGACCCAATAAACCATAAGGCAGCCATTGGGGTCCATATCCCATATTTAAATTATAACCTTAGAATAAAGAGACCGGAGATGTAACAGTGCACATAGCGCATGTTGTCTATTCCAACCTTAAGTAACCCACCAATTAAAAATCATTGTTTCCACGACGCCACCCGAATTGCTCCGACATTTTTATTCTACGCTCATATCCGCGTGAGTGAATCATAAAGGTGGATTCATAAACTACGTTCAGTTCACGCTCAGTTCGAGTTCAACATAAACAGAGCAAAATGACACGGTAAGTATGTTTTGGATAAGAAATTATAACGGATTCATAATTATTTTATAACCAACACCATCTACCAATATAATTAAAACAAAAATAACACCAAAATAGTATATTATGCAACGATCATGTAATGATGGTTATTAATACACGAGCATTAACCGGGATACGAAACGAGCCAAAGGCGAGTTTCGTATGGTTTATGCGAGTGTTTTAATAACCATTACATGTGAGTTGCATACGCTATTTTTTCTACACCCGATAAATAATCAAGACCTATAAATATTATATTTATATTGGTATTGAACACAATAACAGTAATTACTCGTATTTCTATAAAAAATTCTACAAAATTGTAATTAATGGTATTACTTCAGGTATTGGTATTTCCCTAGATTTTTGCGGTAAAATATTTTGTACTGTATTTTCTGCTTTCTCCGATATGTGTGGAGGTGTCTTCTATATCGCTAATATCAGACATTTTAATATTATAATTATCGAAGTTTAGCTACCTACGAAAATTTAATACGTTTTGACAACTAAAATAATTACATAGGAACCTAGGACAAACGTCAAACAGCATGCTTGATTGAAAAATTGTAGGTTTCTATTGATTAAAAATCTGTATCGTAATGAAAAATCTGTATCATAATGGGTATCATTATGAAACGGATTATGGGCATATAAGTTATTATTTTAGTTGTCAAAACGTATTAAATTTTCGTAGGTAGCTAAACTTCGATAATTATAATATTAAAATGTCTGATATTAGCGATATAGAAGACACCTCCACACATATCGGAGAAAGCAGAAAATACAGTACAAAATATTTTACCGCAAAAATCTAGGGAAATACCAATACCTGAAGTAATACCATTAATTACAATTTTGTAGAATTTTTTATAGAAATACGAGTAATTACTGTTATTGTGTTCAATACCAATATAAATATAATATTTATAGGTCTTGATTATTTATCGGGTGTAGAAAAAATAGCGTATGCAACTCTCATGTAATGGTTATTAAAACACTCGCATAAACCATACGAAACTCGCCTTTGGCTCGTTTCGTATCCCGGTTAATGCTCGTGTATTAATAACCATCATTACATGATCGTTGCATAATATACTATTATTTTGTAGAATTTGTGGTTATGTCTTGCCAACTGCAACTGAGCGCGAACTGAACGTAGTTTATGAATCCACCTTTATGGACCGCCGTTTTTTGAATTATTTGTTTATTTTATTAGCAATTAAAATGTTTTAGTTATTCATTTAAGTTGAAAATGCCACGATGTATCGTGAAAAATTGTATATACAAATAATATAAGTGCCAATGTTATGAAAAATAAATATATTCGTATTCAGCGGTAAATATTTATTAACGTTTTGACATAAAGCCACCATGATCATTTAGGCTGAATACTTCAGATCCGCATCAAGGGGTTTCAATAAATATTAAGCATCAAATATATTTCTGAAAACAGATTTCATAGTACTTACATAAATTTAAAGAAGGGCAAAATTTTAAAAATGTAATTTAAATAAGTAAATAACGGCCAATTTCATAATCAATTTAAAGGACACTTTAATTTTAAAGTATCTTTTAACCATATAGTTTAAATAGCTTAAAGTCTCCTTTCATTAAAGGCCACTTTAGCTATCGATTATGAAATTGGCCGTAATCATTGTTGCTAACGTATTTTGTTTTTAAAATGTTTTAAGAATATTTACTAAAAGTGTTTTTTCGCCCTTTTTGGTAGTCCAATTAAATAGACCATTCAATCAAAATTTTGAAGGAAATACAGGAATTTTTGATACAAGTCACTTTAGAGTATTTGAAAACGATATGTAAAAAAAAAATTGTTTTTTGCAGGCATCGGCAAATGTCAAAAAACAAGAAAATAAAGTGTTTTTTTAAGGTTATTTAAAAACGGTAGGTGCTATACAAAAAAGTTCTTAATAAAAATTTTAAAGCATAAAGTTTTACATAAAAATAATTTTTAGCATTTTTTGCAATTATTAAAACTAACAGAGTTAGGGTGTTTAAAAGTTAAGAGGCGATTATATGAGCCGAAAATTCAATGATTTTTTATTTTCTTTTTATTATTTACTTAGAAAAATATGAACCATCTTTTCAGAAAAATAATTTTTTTCATTTGTTCTTTTTAAGTTATGACAATTTAAATTTACAAATTTTCAATACATTATACGACTTTATATGGTAAAATAAATTTTGAAGTGAACTTATTATGGCTTGCCTGACATGAAACGAACTAATAAAAACGACATTGCGACAGTTTAGTCCCACTTGAAGTTCCATTAAATAAATAAAAATTAAAAAAAACTAAAAAAAAAACGATTAAAAATAGTAAAAATAAATAAAGATAAAAAAATAATTAAAATAAGTAAAAAACTAAATATATAAATAAAATTAAACAAAAATAAATCAAATTAAATAAAAAGATAAAAGTAAAAGAAAATAAATAAATTAAAAATTAAAATAAATTGAAAAATTAAAATAAATTGAAAAATTAAAATAAATAAAAATAAATTATATTAATAAAAAAATATAATTAAAAATATAGAAATAAATAAAACAAATTAAAAATGAGCAATAGTAAATTAATAGTATATTATTTAACGAACGGTTATGACCATTACCGCAAATTGGATACTATAGTTTATCTACGACTATTACAATAAATACTAAGAAAAGAATTATATAAATGACTAGATGATAAAAACGTTTGAATCGTTGTAATTACCTTTGTCGCCAGATATTTCTCATCAGGAGCTTTATTTATGAAATTATTAAGTTGTTCTGGCGTAAATATTTTTGCCTTTTTAGCTATATGTTTTTCTGATTGTCGTTTAAGAAACGCACGTAATTTTGAATAATTCTCTATATTAATTCCATTATTTATGTTGAGTGTGCTTCTTAGCAAGGAGTCCATAGAGACGATGCTTTATATTTATTGCTAAGTTTATTAAAATACGCCAAAAGTACATTTTCTGTAAATGGATTACACCAATCTTGAATATTTTAGTATACACCTTGTAACATTTTAAAAGTCGAATTATAAAATGTTATTTTAAATGTGTGCCATCCGGTATAATTTAATTATCGCCAACACAAAATATTCTAAAGAAAGGGAAATTTCTTGAAGTGGGAGTGCCACTAGCCAAGCGATCTCAAGTCAGATTTGTAAATTTCATTTCATTATTACCTTTCAATTAAATCGGTGGTGCATTTGGACTGATAAAGTGGTAAGCACAGAAAGTATATAATGTCTTTATTAAATATCTCAGTAGAAATATTATTCTAACCTTTTGTTAATTATTAGTTTTTTTAATAGTAAAGTTAAATATATTTTTAT